GACAATCCGGAGGTGGGGGAGTGGGGGCAGCTGGCGGGTGGCCGGGCTTGATGGGCTGCCCCTGGCCTTCAGAGCCTCCCTATGGCCTGCAGGCTGTCTGGGTGGGGTCCAGGCTCCAGGGGCTGCCTCCAGCCTCCAGCATCCTGCCCCCTGCAAGCTGTCAGGGGAGGGACCAGGATCTGAGGGCTTAACTTCCCTTAAGCTGCCTCTCTCCAGCAGCTCCCTGGGGTCTTGAGGGTGAGTCGTTGAAGCTGGGGAACTGTCCCCTGCCTCCAGTGCTGCCCCCTCCCCTTGCTGCAGGTTGGCCGCCTCCAGCAGCCCCTCTGTGGCCTGCAGGCTGTCTGAGGACTGCCTCCTCCTCCAGCACCCCCTCAATATCCTGCAGGCTGTCTGGGAATGGGCCAGGCTCTAGGGGTGCCCTGCAGCCTGCAGGCTGTCAGGGGGCAGGGTGAGGGGACTCCCAGCTGCTCCCCTTTTTAATGCCGCCCATGGCCTACAGTCTGTTGGGGGTGTGTGAGACTCTGGGACTTACCCCCCTTCCAACAGCTGCCCTGCACCATGCATGCCGTCCGGAGAGGGGTCAAGCTGTGGGGGCTGCCCCTCCTCCAGTGGGTCCTTTACCCTATGTCCTGTAGGCCTTCTGTGGGGGCCGAGGCTCCTGGGGGCCCAGCTCTGCTTCAGCAGCCTGCAGGTCCTCCATGGTGGGGGCAAGCTCTGGGTTTGGGTTGTGAGGGGATTCTTTACCTCACCTGGTGGCAGGCAAGATGGCAGAGCCCCAGCCCTGCTGGCCATTCTCTTTGTGCTGCTGCGGCCCCCAGTGGCCACTCTTAGTATCATGTCCCTCCTCTCTGTGCCCCTCCCTTTTGTGTCCTTCCGCGCTCTGCCCTCTCTCTTTCCATGTTATTGAAAACAGTTCCATTCCCGGCACTTCCCATTTTCCAGGCACAGCCAAACCTTGACCTTGGTTAAGTTAGGATAAGAGAAAGCTGCATACCAAATTTGATGGTCCTAGCTGTTATGGTTTAGGAGGAGTCCTTGAACAAATGGACTCTCAGATGCACAGTGAGATGAACTCTGAAATATAGCTAGCATGATTTTTTGAAAGGGGGGGGGCACTTCATGAATTTTGGAAGTGGCTGTGGGCCACCCCGGAAGGGGTGAGGCCTCATGCAGAAGGGGGCTGTTTCCTCTAGGTGCAGCCCACCTCTAGCAAGGAGAGGAGACTTTGCATGCTCCCCCGCCCATAGACCCTGATTGGTCTGGGAGTGGGGGGAGTGCATTAAGTCTCTGCCTCCCTGCCCTGCCCTGCCCTACCCTACCAGGGGCGTGGGGCACCTAGAGAGAACCATCAGCTGTTTTGAACAGCTGGTGGTTCCCTCTAGGTCAGTGGTCACCACCAGTAGATCAGGATCTACTGGTAGATCTTGGAGCCTTTGACAGGTGATCTTGACTGGTTTGGCCAAGAGGCTACAAAGTACAGCACTTCAGCTGCCCTTCCCCGCACTGCTGCACATCTCCTGTCCCCACCTCCCCGGGAGCCTCCTGCTTGTGGTACAGGGAAGGGAAGGGAGAGGAGGGGTGCTGATGTCAGGGTGCCCCCTCTTCCACCCTGTATTCTATCTCCACAGAATAAGGGAGCGGGAGGGCGGCACAACAGGGCTTGGGATGGAAGGAGTTTGCTGGCAGCTTTTGAGAGTGGTGTAGGGCCAGGGCAGATGAGACCCTGCCTTAGCCCCACTGCACCACCACCCAGGAGCCATCTGAGGTAAGCAGTGCCCAGCTGGAGCCAGCTCTGAACCCCTGTTCCAGTCATGAACCCCCTCCTGGACCCCAAGAGCCTGTCCTAGCCTTGAGCCCCCTGGACCCAAACTCCTTTGGAGAGCCTGTACCCTAAACCCCCTCCTGCACCCCAACTTCCTGCCCCAGGCTCAGCCTGGAGCCTCTGTACACTCCAAATCCCATAGCCCAAGACCAGAGCCTGTGGCCCAACCCTCTGCCCCTGTCTAGTGAAAAGGAAGGAGAATGGGGGAAGGAGGAAGGGAGGACAGAGTGAGCAGGGGCAAGGCCTCGGGGAAGGAAGTAAGGCAAGGGTATTTGGGTTTGAGAGAGATCTTGGATTGCACTTAAATTCAAAAAGTGATCTTGTGCATAGAAAGGTTGGAGACCACTGCTCTAGGTGCTGCTTGCCTCCAGCTGTGGGAGGAGACTTAATGCACTCCCCTGCCCCCAGGTCAATCAGGGCCTGGGGGTAGGGGCATGCAAAGTTTCTCACCCCTTCCCCCGCCTCCCCATCCCACCCTGCCAGGGCCATGCGATGGACCTCCAGCCGTTTTGAACAGTTGGTGGTTTCTTCTGATGCCGCACGCCACTGGTGGGGGTGGAGACTTCGTACACTTCCCCCGTCCCCATGTCTCAATTGACCTGGAGGCAAGGGAGCGGCAGAGAGGCCATGATCTGGATCAAATGGCTTGGTGGGCCAGATTCAGCCCATGGACACTGTCTTGCCCACCCTTGCTATGGATTACTTGACCATTCAGAGTGAAGTGGCCCATTAATAGTTATATAGACCTAAAAGGGGAGTTGCTGGGTTACAGACTGTTGTAGTAAGCAATAAATCCAGTGTCTTTATTAAGATCTTTATTTAGTGTCTAGCAAAGCTTATTTTTTAAAATGTGCAGGTTTCCTTTGAAGACAAGGACTAGCAGGTTAGACAAAATGATGGCTTTGTGAAAAGTATTCATGCACAGGTGATAGGGTATTTTTGCCTTTAATAATTTTCCTGCATGAATTCATTTGAGAGCATAATTGCTGTCTGATTTCACCCATGTATTTGTTATCACATGTTGAGATAGGTATATGTAGGATGCATGGATCTCAAAATGTATATTGTGGGGGTGTTGATCATTATAGCAGTGAAGATATATTTGTAGGTTTCACATTTGTTTTTCTGACAGGGTCTGATGCAGCTTTGAGTTGATGTGTCCTGGTCTGTGGGATGATGATACGTCTGGATAGGCTGGGAGGTTGTTTAAAGGCCAGAAGAGGAGAATGCAGGAAAGATTTATTTCCGAATGGGGTTCTCCATTGATATAGGTTGTATGTCAATAAGACTCTATATGACTTCCATGTGGGGTGAAAGGTGACAGCCATGGATACGTGACCAGAACTTTTATTTCTGTATTGAAATAAGTTCTCGTGGATCATGTGGATGGCCTGTTCCATGATGTGATCTACTCCACTGGTGGAGTGTCCTTGTTTGGGGAAGGTGGTTTTGTTGGTGTTAAGGTGTATGTTCTGTGCTTTCTTCTTAGAGCATATGCCTTAAGTCAGGGCTATGCAATAATTTTTAATGGGGGGGCGCTCCAAAGTGGTCAAGGGCCACACTTCTGTGGAGGGGCAATGGGACGGCGAGTGGGGTGTAAAAGGGAGCTTGGGATAGCGCACTCAGGTTCAGGAAGGGTCTGAGAGGGAGTTTGGGTGAAGGAGAAGGTTATGATCTGGGGCAGGGGCTTGGGATGCAGGGTCAGGAGGGGTTATGGGTACAGGAGAGGATTCTGGCCTGGGGGACGGATGTAGAAGGGGGTGCAGGGTCTGGAAGGGAGTTGTGACCTGGAAGGGGTAGGGAGAGAGGATACAGAAGGCCTGGGTGGTGGTCTGGGGCAGGTAGTTGGGATGGAGAGAGGGGCTGGGGTGCCAGAGACAGGTTCTAGGCAGCTCCCAGCCAGCGGCTCTTCAGGAACCTGAGGCAGGCTCCCTGCCTGTCTGCTGAGCTGGCTGCTCCATGTGGCTCTGCTGCAGCATGGGAAGGGAGAAAGTGAGGAGGCTTCATTTGCGGCTGCTGCCTTCAGCAAAATTTCTCAGCTCCTATTGGCCAGAAACTGACCAATGGGGGCTAAAGGTGTTTTCTAGGGGGCAGGGACAGTGTGTGATGCTTTCTCCTCCCTGCCCAGACTGCATAGCAATTAGTAGTCTGCTGTTTAAAGTGGCTGCAGCTGCTGTATAGTGAGGGTGCTAGCATGGAGACTGTGGTCCGGATCCGGAGGCTTGGCATGCCAATGTGGCCCGCTAGCCGCCTCTTGCCAACCCCTGCTGTAGATAATGGATTTCCTGAGTGTGTTTGTCGTGGTTCCTGGAATCTGTGAAGGTGCGTGAGGTGATCAGTGGGTTTCATGAACATGGTTGTATATGGAGTTCCATTGTTGAAGCTAAGAGACTTTATTGATGGGTGATGTTTGTTGAAATTGTGGTGGAAATCTAAGAGAATTTAAGTTTTGTCCTGAGGATGAAAATACTATCAGTGTATTTTAGGTATATCATTGGTTTCGTGGTGCATTTGTCTAGAAATTGTTCAATATGGCCCATGAGTCACCAACTTGACTGTGACCCCTATGCATCATTGTACCTATATTGCACCAACAGTCACCCCAGACAAACTAAGAAAACGAATATTTACGGGCAAGCATTGAGATACTTCAAAATATGCGACAAGAATCTTGTGCTTAGCTTGGACATTGTGCATTCCTTTCCCAGACCTGAAGAAGAGCGCTGAGTAACTTGAAAGCTTGTCTCTTTCACCAGTGGAAGCTGATCAAATAAAAAATATTACCTCACCCATTGTCTTAGTAATATTTTTTGTTTTTCACAAACGGTACCAAAATCCCAATAATTTATAGTCCTTCCACATACAAAGCTCCCTTTTCTCTGCAGCATCTGCACTTTAATTAGGGAAGTCAAACTTTACCTGTCAGCCAATATAGTAATTTGACAGGATATTCACCCATTATAAATGCCTCTATAAGGTACAGAGGGAAAGGTAAACAGAGTAATTGTTAACCTGCCAGCTAGGGTTCTTTACAGTCACTCTCACTTGGTCTTTAGACTCATAAAGATGAATAGAGAATGTACAGTTTATATTCATTTGGTTAAGGATATATTTCTTAACAGATGGATTAGAAAACCTGATACTTCTCAATCTGAACAACAACAAGCTTAAATATCTTCCTCCAGAAATACACAGGTAAATTGTATTATATAGCCTTGTCTGTGTTGCTTTTATACTGTACCTGTTCTAAAAGCCAAACTGTTCAGAGAGAATATTAACAAAATTGTTTCTGGTAGAGTTACTACCTGGAAGATTTGGGTGTGGGGCTGGGAACAAAGTTAGAACCCTAACCCGCAGAAAATTTACCAAAAAGTATTTTGAGACATTTATATTGTATTCCTAAGAATGAGGGATTGCATCCCTTCCAAGAAAAAAATAAAAAAGGTAACCTGTCTGTATGAGAGCACATAAGTGAAATGAGCACTCAAAAAACAAAAAGAAACTCTAGATTTTAAAACTTGAAGCTCATCTATAAACAAAACATAGTAAAAGCTTTCCCAGGAGTTGAAATTAGTGGCTTATCAAAATGATAGCCAAAGGCAAATACCGCATCTAATGTCCACAAGGACTATACATGAGGGCTTCCTTCCCCCTTTTCCGGAAGGGGCATGTTAATTTCAGCTATCGTAGTAGGGAAATCCGCGGGGGATATTTAAATATCCCCCGCGGCATTTAAATGAAAATGTCCGCCGCTTTTTTCCGGCTTTTAGAAAAGCCGGAAAAGAGCATCTACACTGGCCCCGATCCTCCGGAAAAAGCGCCCTTTTCCGGAGGCTCTTATTCCTACGTTGAAGGAAGCCCTCATGTATAGTCCTTGTGGACATTAGATGCGGTATTTGCCTTTGGCTATCATTTTGATAAGCCACTAATTTCAACTCCTGGGAAAGCTTTTACTATGTTTTGTTTATAGATGAGCTTCAAGTATTAAAATCTAGATGTTTTGTTTATAGATGAGCTTCAAGTTTTAAAATCTAGAGTTTCTTTTTGTTTTTTGAGTGCTCATTTCACTTATGTGCTCTCATACAGACAGGTTACCTTTTTTATTTTTTTCTTGGAAGGGATGCAATCCCTCATTCTTAGGAATACAATATAAATGTCTCAAAATACTTTTTGGTAAATTTTCTGCGGGTTAGGGTTCTAACTTTGTTCCCAGCCCCACACCCAAATCTTCCAGGTAGTAACTCTACCAGAAACAATTTTGTTAATATTCTCTCTGAACAGTTTGGCTTTTATGTTTTATCTGAACTACAAAATCAGAGCTTTGTACTGTTTCCTGTTACCATATGTATGTCTCATTTCTTGTGCTTTAGCAAATGAAATGAAGTAGTTATATTGTTTCTAATTTTTATTAATCTTATTTTATACCAAGAACTTTTCAAGAAAGCCTTTAGCATGTAAAATTGTGAATATTTTTGCAAAAATTTAGCTTGAAATTAAAAAGCATAACCTGGGTTATGCTATTATTATGATAGTGCCACTCAGGCAAGGTACTGCATAGGAAGACACTGTGGTTTCTTCCCTGGAGGAGATTAAAACAAAAGCCCCCAAGCCCAGACTAAGGGTGGGAGTTTGGGAGGACTGAATTCCAGGCGAAGAGTGGCTACAGGAGAAGAGATGCGCAGGGGACTAGAAGCTTGAACTGGATGTGATGGGGAAGGACAAATGAATGCTTTACTAAAGCAAGATATACTCTAGGAATTATTTTGGGAAGGTTTTCTGGCCTGTGACATAGAAGAGGTACTAGATGAACACAGTGGTCCTTTCTGGCCTGAGAATCTATGACTTTTGGAAGTTGAGGGATTCAAGGAGAGGGGATCATGTAGTCAGATGGGGTAAAGATGATGATCTAACTACAGGTTGAACTTCTCTAGTTCAACATCCTTGGGACCTGACCAGTACCAAACCAGAGACTTTGTCAAGCCACAGGAGATCGGTATTGTCTTGGAAGCGTTACCAACCCTTCCACTGCTTACTGCACTCTTACAAGTCATTTAGGGTAAATTAGAGCTAAATAACAGCACAGAACACTTAGCACCAGGACTGGTTGCAAACAAACTTTGTGGAACGGTGGGAAACTTGGACACACCCAGGTTAAGTGGACATCCAGCTTACTAAAATCATTCTGGATCACGGATGTTGCCTGACCAGAGTGTGCTGGACTAGACAGGTTCAGTCTGTACTGTATTTTTGGATATGCTGGATACAGAGAGGCAGGAAAAGATGAAATACAGGCAGTCCCCGACTTACGCGGATCCGACTTATGTTGGATCCGCACTTACGAACGGGGCTTTCTCGCCCCGGAGGTCGAGGTGGCGGATTGCTACCTGCGAGCTCCGGGGCGAGAGAGCCCCATTCGTAAGCTGCTCCGGTGCCCCTGGTCTGCTGGAGACCGTCTCCAGCAGACCAGGGGCACCGGGCGGGTTCCCACGCTTCTGAGGCTTTGCCAGAGCAAAGCCTCAGAAGCGCGGAAACCCGCCGCTGCTGCCGCCTGAGGCC